TATTTTGTGCATGAGAAGAATACAACTACAGGGCTCATGGCTTGCACAGTGCTGCATTCAAGCATTGCTGAGTGACCCACCTGACGTGCCGGTGGCCTAAAAGGTTGTCCGGAAAGGCCCATTTTCTGAAATTCCGCGACGGGGGGTTGGCCTGGCATTGGAGGACCGGGCCCTCCAGCAGGTGGCCCAGGGTGTGGTGGGGCTGTCGACCCTGGGAATTGTGCCGGCCCTGGGGAAGCAGGTAAGCTGGCAGGTTGCCAGGGCTGTTGGGGACGGACGTTCGCTACAGGAGCAGGGTATGGGTGCTGCTGTCCCACCTGACCTGCACAGCAAATTCGGCGGCCAGCTGAGGACCACAAAAGATCTGTGGCCTGTTGGTTGGCTGATCATAAGGGAGGCATGCATCCACAGAAAACTCTCGCCCACGCTCCCATCCATCAACCCCTTTGAAGGTGGCCAGCACTCAGTTTCAAGGTTACAGAGGGCACGTGCAGAGATTCACTGGCAGGGGAAGCAGACACAGCACTCTTCAGTTTTGACACCACATGTTATCTGATTAACAGCAACACAAAACAGCCTTCAGATCCCACGACTGTGTTTCCCACAAAACGAGCCACCGCCCGACCCGGCCCAGGGGGGGCCCTAAAATCCAACGCAGGACCGCCTACACCGCCTTTCCCCGCAGTTCAGTGATTGACAGCGCGCCAATGGACCGCACATCGCCGCGGCCGTCGATCACGCAAAGCGCGTCGACCGAACTCAACGGCGCGCGCCAGTGACCCAACCGCTCCGAATCCCAGCCAGCCGCAGCCACCGCCCATGCAGCCATGCCCCGCTGACCCCAGCCGCGGATGCTTTCCCCCTCAGATCCCAACGGCTTCTCCCCATCTTCCACCCAACACGCTCTTCAACCCCCGCCTCTCCGCCCCGCGATCCCAGGCGCCCTGATCACGACCAAGATCCCATTTCCGGCCCCCGGTCAAGCGTGCGCCCATGCTGAGGCCCGGCACTCACCGCCATAGTGCGATCCAGCCGGGGTTGGCGCCGCGCCTACTCCCGGCTGCGCGGGCGGAAACGACGGGGGACCCCTGCCGCCGGCCTGCCCCTGCGGGTGCATCCTTTCGCGGGAGCGGCCGGCCCGGGCGCGCCGTGACCGCCACCTCCTGGCCCGCTAACAGCCCGTGGCGGCCCGGGGGAGGCCGCGAGACCGCGGGAGGCGGGGCAAGGGGATGGCAGCGAGCGAGGGCGGCAATCGGGGCGGGCTGGCGCCGCCTGGGCTGCGGCCGCGGCTTGGTCTTGCGCCCTTCCCCGGTGTGCTGGGGCCCAAAGCGGTGGGTGGCGAAGGTAAAACGTGGTGGGGAGACACGTGACCCCCTCCTGCCATCAAGCTGGTCCATCTTGGTTCTGCATTTCGACCCATTTCGGGGGAGAAACTGTGCTGGTGCAGTTGCTTGTTGTTTTCGGATTCCGAAACATTGTAGCACATTTCAGTGTCCAGGCGCCGCCAACCCCGTGTAACACGAGATGCAAGCCTTGTAAGAGAGCGGAAGGCGATGTATAAAACCCCTAAAGGTATGCGCACCGCAGTGATTGCTCTGCCTCAAATAAGAGAAGTTTGGCACTCTGGGGGAACCCTGTCAGATCAGCAATTTTGCTTGCATTAATCCAAGCAGACCAAATTTGCCTGTTTGTTTGTTTTAATTAACCGAATCGAGAGAACTTCATTTATTATTGTACATCTTCCGCCCATGACAAGTGCAGGTGTTGTGTTGTGTTGAGGATGGTGCACTTAGATTTATAGTAATCGACATCAACCCGTCACACCAAAGGCACACCTTAGCTGTGCAGAGCACGTTAGCTTTGAAAAATATTCGAGGATGATCGCCCATTAAAAGAATCAACTTTTAAGAGCGATGTGGGCAGACATTGCAAAGGGCAGCTGCACTCGCACACCCACGATTCAAGATGTCACTGTCCTGGGAAACTAGGGGATAGGCCACAGCAGAAATGAATAAGAGCGATGTGGGCAGACATTGCAAAGGGCAGCTGCACTCGCACACCCACGATTCAAGATGTCACTGTCCTGGGAAACTAGGGGATAGGCCACAGCAGAAATGAATACGATGAACATTTGATTTTGTTTGCAGACTGCGAACAATTGTTTTGAATGTCCCTATAAGGCATCCTGAGATGTGGGATATATATGGGATATCGTTTGCCCCAATTCCATATCATAATGGCTGTGCATGGACACTAAATGCTTATACGCACCACAGGCTCATCGCTCACGAAGAAATCGCCGCGCGTGGCGTTCTTGGATATGGACAAACTCGTCATCGCCCACATGGTTCAAAGGCATCGCTTTGTCCTTCAGAGGCAATTTGAAACAAAGAATTTTTGCCGCATGTGGCCGCATCTTGGTGAAAAATGATGAGTGCGAGAGATATGCGCATCGTTCAAAACATAGGCAGCGTTGGGAAACGCTTGCCCAACATTTTCATTGATTGTGATGAATTGCCAACGCTCATTCGGCGTCTCCACAATCGAGAGACATGGGAGGCCACAGCTCTCACCCAAACTCAATGATTTGCAACTTACACCATGCGCCAAGAATGCGCAACTGTTAAGGTTAGGCGGTTGAGCGAGGGATCAAACCGCTACCCCAGGGTGCTCACAGGAAGCACGGACACACCACAGACTCAACGCCGGCCCAACAGCGCTCACACACCCCCTCCCATATTTCCTCGCATATTTGCTTGTCCGGTTCCAAGTCCAAACGCAAAATCCTTGCTGAACGGCGGCACCAAACACGACCAACTGTCTTCATGTCTCACGGCCACCGGGTTGCCTATTTGTAAGCCCAGGATCCACCTCATCACAAACACCCATCAAGCAGCTCATTCACATGCCCACTCAGTGCATATCCAAGTGCAAAAGATGCCAGAGATCCCGTTTCATACAGAAACCAGCTTGGGGTATGTGCTACTAGAACACGGGCTCTCTACCATCACCAAAGACACAACGATGAGACAAAACTACAGAAAAGAAAGAAGCCCGGCAGTTGAACTCCAATTCACCACTCACATACTTAATTTCTGGTTGCTCGGATCTTTCAGATGGCCACTAGCGAGCCTTAAGCTACTTGCAAACCCCCAAAAAAAGAGAATAAGGGCAGCGTAAAGTGGTGAAAGGCACAACTTCCTTAGAAGGATTCCTATGGACAAGATACCCTGACCAGGGCATTTCCGTATGAGCATCTCGAGGTGCCGAGCTCGGCGCTTTTTCCTTCGAAATTCATGATGTCACAAACATTAGTGTGATCCTAATAGCAGCCTATAAACCTAATCAGGTATTGCCTGATTAAATAATTATATAGTTAATCAATATCTTTGAAAAGGAAACCGGCATAACATCGTAGAAATTCATGAGTATTCTCAGCAATTTTCGCAGTGGCGTCAGCACAAGCAGTCCCATGAAAACAAGCACTCTTTGAAGTGGGAAGCAATCGCTAACCATTAAATATAAATTGATCCACCCAGTGAAACGTTGGTCATTATGTGGCTACGCAACACTAGTAGTATTTAACATTAGAAAACTGGGACAATGCAAGATAATCGATCCCATTTGCTTTGGTTCATATCATAATGTCTCCAAAGAAGACTGCAATAATGTAAACGAACCCAAGTTTCTCACCCAATTCTACCCCTCGTGCGGTAATTTTCCTACCTTGGATTCCACCGATTCGCAAACACCCAGATTTCTGCTTGGCGTATTACCCCTTACCGCCGCTCATGGCTCACTCACAGGATATTCTGCCATTTGACCGCCCTCATTAGCCTCATCCTGGACTTCTTTGTCATGCCGTTGCTCCATAGCCCTAGCAGAACGAGGCCCCAAAATGATGATCGACACTCATTGGATGAAGCTGCAGCGCGGAAATCACGAGGCAAGTCGTCAATTCCAAAAAAGAAGCATTGTCGAAGCGGAAGTGCCTGAACTTGAGGAGGCCTGCCCCATCACGCGTGGGCGTCAAAATGTCCAACAGAAGGCTCGGGCGACGGGTGGGGGGAAGCATCTTTGGCAATGCTCGGTCGGGCGTTCGCGGCTGCGCTGTGTGCGCTGGCGCTCGGCTGTGCGTGCCTGGCAGCGGAACCCCTGCGGCATGCGCGGTCACGGCGGTTGAACGCGCTGTTGAGCCAGGTGTGCACGAACAACAGCACCGGCCACCTGGTGGATGAGTTGCTGGCTCAGAGGAGGGATTCCCTTGCGTCGATCTGGCCGGCATGGTACCCCAGTTGCAGCTGGCTGCTCGGCGAGCGGGCCTGTGGTCCTGGGGCCCCTGCAAGTAGGGTTGTTCGCAGTTGCAGTGGCTGCATAGCTGCGCGGTGCGCGGATTTTTCATCCACAAAACTTTGGTCCACAGGAGTCATGACAAAGACGGCACCGAACGTGCGCATCGAGGTGACACCAGCCACGTTTGAAACTGGAGTGTGACCCTCGCAGGGACATGCTCCCGGGTTGGGTGGACTGTGGTCGTCCGCGAGGCGTCAATTGAAGCAGGACAACGCCACGGTTCCCAAGTGCCAATGGACGGATGAATGGTCCGGATGTTTCCTGGATTATTTCAATCTGATACCAGAAGGGGACTTGAAGGACGTCTACCGAACGGACGAGGTGCGGGTTGTGGGGAAGGGACCATGCTCGACGGGCCCAGCCTTTTCCAAAGACATTGCCTCACAGAGCGCGTCAGTTTTAAACAGAGACAGCACAGTGGCCAATGCACACACAAGAATCCAAAAGCCCATTTGTTCTTGTGCTGTACTTGCCTTCTTTTGTGGTGAACAGGCAGTGCTTGTGGGCGGGATAGACAAAACCCACTGTGCACAGTTGCCCGTGGAAGATTTTGCGTTTCTTGCACGTCGATGTTTCTTATATATTTGTTGGGTTTTCGCTCTGACTCACAGATCAACTGTTGTCCTCAGAATTGCTCTAAAATCACGATGCAAAGCGAATGCAGGGAGTTGGAGGAATGTACATGGTGAGGCCCTTGATGCCACTCTTGCTATATCTGCTCATGCTGTTCATTTCACACAATGAACAAGATGACAGGAGCACAAACACTCTTTTTTTGAACAGTTTCAAACATGTGTCCAAGCAGCAAAGCATGCTGCGATGCAATGTGCCACATTTCATTCTCCATCAAACAGGTCCTATCTTGCAGAAGAGTGCAAAATGTCACTGGAGTAAACCAGCAAGCAAAACATGAATGATATTCGTGAATTGGCCCTCTTTACTGCAGTTTACACCGCAATTGCACGATTTTCACCAATTCAGCAGAATTTGGAAGAGGAAACATATTGTCCAGTGAATGAGATGTATTACAACTGTCAGATGCAGTTCGGATGAGAGTTTGCAGGTGGGGACTGAGCCCATAATGGTGGCGACCTCAAAGGAAAACTGTTCTGCTGCAAATCCTGCTCATGCAGACTGCACTTGGGAGTTTTCCTCCAAGACATGATCACTGCATATTGTGCAGTAAACATTTCAACCATTCACAAGTAAAGGGACATTATAGTTTCGATACTATCCATTAAAGGGTAGCAAACATATATTGAGCATATTCAAGGTGGTTCAACAGCAAACACAGCCAGAGACTCAGGCCAGAGGTGTAGGGCATGGAACAGAAACACTAACCAAAGTTCATGTTTTGTCAGTCATGACATCTGTATTGTCATGGCTGGAATCTGTATGGGATGTCAGGACTTACAACCATTGTGATTGTAATTATCAGCTCTGTTTCCTTTCTTTCTGGCAGGGAAGCAGGTTGTGTTGTTTTTCTGGAGGACAAGATCGCGGAATGTAATGCTGAAAGTGGCGATCCACCATCTGGGTCACTGTGCGATTTCTTTGTGGTATCGAGCAAATGTCAGGCCTTTGCGGAGCTGGAGAAGAATTGCACAGATGCTGGTTGTGACTGGAAAATGGATGATCAGAATGGTGTGGACCCAATGCACAGTGGTTCAGCAGTGTTGGATTGCAGAGGAAACGTGGGGTTTCATGCACTTGACATGAACATCATGGGGCTTTAGGTGTTTGCACCTGCGCTTCAGACTTCATCTCTGTTTCAGCTCAAATTTGTGCATTTCAGACTTCATCTCTTTTTCAGCTCAAATTCGTGCATTTACGGCATTTGGCATCAAGGCAAGAGCACGTTGCAGAGAGCACGTGCCCCACAAGCACAAGAAGAGGGGGATACCCTGGCTGAGACAGTACTTTGTCACATGCAAATTCCGACATCACAAAAAGAAGTTCTCTGCGCTCTCTTAGGACGAAATGCCAGGGAAACTATGCCATTTGCAATGATTGGAGTAATGCCTTATCGGCCCTCCCAGGGCGCCATGCTTGTTTTGCAGAAAATAGTTTTATACGCACACTATCACTCTCCCTCTTCCGCTCTCCCTTTGAATGGCACGGATACATCGACGCTAACGGACTGCCCCTCTTTAGTGCCTGCCATAGGAGCAATACTGGGTACCAAACACTCGTTTGGTTGTGTGGTTGTGTCCGCCAGGATTTTGCACTGCTTCACAAGAGATGATCTTGAATGTGGAACTCGCAATGGCTCCTGAACTGATACCAAAGATTAGTGCAGAGCTGAAGCGGTGCAATGAAAGCACAACCGTGGAGGAGTGCGAGGACAGCCAGGGCGCAATGGGCTGACACTTCTGGTTGGTGCGTTTTGGCCTGCGCCGGCAAGCATGCATCTGTTGTTGTCGTGACTGTGTTCATGCAGGGCTGGGCTGCATTGAAATTGCCGCACGATATTCATTCTTGCGGCGATGCACATATCGAACCAGAGCAATTGCATCACGTGGCATGGAATGCTTCAGTTGATGGACAAGCTCAGGAAGGGAAACGGACACGTGATTTGGTGCTGAATGCCATGTCGAGGTGGCGAGGTATCAATGTGCTGCTCTAATAACGCAGTTATCGGTACCTTTCATCAAGTCCTTTGCTGATTGTGCCTGGTGACTTAAACTGAATGCTGGTGTACGCAGAGGTTGAGGGTAGCGCTTGAGAGGGGGGTGGGGATTTCCTGCCGCTATGGGCATTGTTTGTGGATCAGACATGCTTGTTAGGACGGTTTGTGACTAGACGAATATTGCCACACGTGCGGTGTCTTGGTTCGCACTGCTGCAGATGTGGTGGCCAGGAACTCGAGGCTTCATGTAACATTACATTTGAAGGCCTGGTTGGTTGATCGATTGAAGCTGCAGTTGTGCGAACAAACTTGCGAGACGCATTCACTGTCTCCGACATGGTGGCTGACATCAATTGCAAACCAAGTAGCGCAAGTTGTGCAGTTGTGGGCGCTGCGGCACACAGGGTCTTCACATTTCGACAGACACACGGAGGTCAAGGAAACGACTTGCGGCTTTTGGCTTAAGTGCAGTGATGTAATCATTTAGTGTGCTCGCCCTGGACCCCTCCCCTCCCAGCGTCATCTGGGGACTGAGCGAATAAATTCGACATAGCGTCTTGCCTTGGGATTCATGCCGTTCGAAGTCCAGCCGATTGCCGCCGGTCATGATCTTGGCCCTGAAAACCGCCAAATGTGTTCATTCCACTGTTGCTCCACTATCTGTCACAATAGTGGAGCTTGCTGCGCATCCCCTTCTGTACACTTGTGTACAGGAATCTACCGCATGCAGAGAGGACCACAAGTGGTTCGCTCGAAAATGCATTACGAGTTATCCCCTTACCCACTTACCCACCCAGTCTGCAACCCCCTATGCATAGGGGACGCGTATGCGTAGGCGCCAATACTCATTGTGCTCCTTCACTATCCTGTACGCACCCAAGACAGTCCCAGGCCACCTGCCTATGGGGCGTGCCACTTGCCCTGCACATCGCGCTCAAGGAGCCCATGTTTGGTAAGCATCCATGTCTAACAAGCTCCGACTACCTCCCCCAGAACCCAAGCGCTGGAGGCAAGCAAAATGGATCATCCTGTCTAATTCCCAGCTGTCAAACATTTGCAACCTTGACTTTTGCTGTCTGGAAGGCAGTATGAATGGAGACATGCATCAGTCATCAGTCGGAACGGCTGGAGGCACCTGAAAGAGTGGTGACACAGCAATGTGAAGACAACAAACAACTGCCAGCCCCCTAGCCACCAAATGTCCCATCGAGCTGTGCAATGAAGAGGAAAGGAATCAGGGCCAGTGCAGCTCTGGGAGACCTACGAGCCACAAGAGTACCCCCATGCCACCTTGGAAATTGGCAAGTGTCCACCTTGCCTGTCCCGCACCTGTGGCAACGCTGATCCCACCCACCTATTGACAATGTGACTATACTACACGTGGACACAAGACACCTGTATGTATTCGCTGAACCAGAACGGTTCTGTCGAGAAACACCAACAGGGATCTTGAATGGCCATGATCAACGACAATCACGGCAACAACTGAAAAGAATTGCTCATCCGCTCGCCTGATTCTGACAACATAAGGTCAGTTGCCCCTAACTAGGGTCACATGTTAAAACAAGGTGGATTTGTCGGAGGGTTCTTGCGTACAAGATCGAAATATTATGTCATGCACACAGGGCGTCCCTGGGATGCCTGCTACCGCAGTATGCGCATTCCTCAAGGTCACAAATATTGAGCGCTCATTGATGACGTCACAATGCCAGATTCCGCGCAGATGCACCGACGGTTTCTATTGTGGCGACCGACTGACCCACTCATTCCTCCCAGAGCCAACGGCCTCTGCCCAGAGAGCGCAACAACCACGCCAACGCCCCGCGCTGCGTCCCTTCCACCTTCCCCACCCCCAACCTCTCAAGCAACCGCGGCAGCAAGCGCTGGTGAAGGCGCCGCGATCGCCCTCAGCCGCGGCGCGTCACTATCTCCGACCCTTGGCGCGCCCCCAACAGGCGTTTGGGAATCTCCTTCACCCCTAACAGGCAGGCACAGGTCGTGCCGCATCGACGTGGCGGCAATGTCGGCAAGAACCCTCCTGGCGATCGCCGCGATCGCGCTGCTGTCGCCGCCCGGGCGAGCCCAAGATGTGGAGCGGGTGGAGGCCGACCTCAATGCCGACACGCTGAGCGCGGTGCTGGCCGACTTCTTCGCGAGCGCAGCGGGAGAGAGCGGCAGCCCGGGGGCGCAGGGCGGCGGAGGCAGGCGCCTGCGCCAGTTCCAGGGCTTCGATGAGTTCCTGCGCGACTTCGACCTGTCGCTGTCGCTGTCGGACTTCCTGGACGGCCTGCTGCAGAACCCGGGCCTGGACTTCCTCGCGGGCCCGCTGACGCAGGAGGGTGTGGAGGCCCTGCTGCGCGAGAAGTACGAGAAGTACTGCGCGGATCCGGAGAAGGCAGACGGCGAGGAGGCGCACAAGGCGTGCGAGGGGCCCGTGCTCACGCTGGAGCTGGTGCCCGCGAGGTGGGTCGCCGACGGAACGCCACTGCCGGACGGTCGATGCGACGCCCCAGCCCCCGCTGGCACGAACCGCTGCAGCGCAGCCCGCTTGCGTTTGCCTCGCGAGGCCGTCTGTCCGTGCCGACGGCGAAGGCGGTTGGCTCCCAGTGGGAAACGGCCCTGTCGATTCGCCGCTGACGCAGATCTCCATCTTTGCAACGGGCACCAGCCAGGGGGTATCCTGGCGCGTGACCGAATGTGTGGGATTGGAGTGACCTGGCACTATCATCGGAACAGGCAGAGATTGTGCATTTCACACGGTTTGCAGCCGTGGTTTGATCGCGCTGCATTCAGCGAAGCTGGCCGCCTGCCATTTTGCGTGTGAAGGGAACCAAACCGCGTCAACACTGGCCATGGCTTGCGCTATATTTTCGATGGCTGTGTGCGTTGGATTTGGTGACACGTGTCCCTAAGGGCCCCCTATGCGCAGGTATACGTATTCTTGACACATTGGCCAGCAAATCAATCAGATGAATTAAATTGCGTGTCACTGTGTTGACACTTTAATGGAACCTATTCTTATGTCTTTTCTTGAGGATGGTTGAACAATAACGTGTTTTGAAATAGCGAACAAAGCGCCAAAGTATTTGCGGTCGAATTGGGCATCAAGCACGTATTATTCCGCTTGTTCAATGAGATCCTCACCTTTTGACATCCCCGCATTGCTTAAGCGCTGAAGGAGGAGATACCCATGGAGTAACAGCGTCACTATGCGTGTCCTCACAAGAAATGGGGCGCATCCCCCTAAATGCATACATTACAACTGTGGAAGTATGCGGGACTGTCCGTGCATTGTTATGCCTTCTCATCCATGTTCAACAAGCCTGATGTATAGCAATTCACATGTGTGTTGCCCAGCTGTGAAGTGTTGGACTCCGCGTCCAACAAACTTGAGTGCGAGCCAGCTAAACTGGTGTACACCAGGGCACCGGGCTTGTGCCGCAGCGAGCACCAATCTGGGGCAAGTTTCACTGGCAAGGAATGTCGCATCACCAAAGCCCTGGGGCCCGACAAGGAGATCGTTCTTGGCGGGGGCGCCGCGGACCTCACACTGACCCTCGGCGCTCAGGACGTAAAATTTTCCCCACCCGATTTGAGAGATATCGCGGACTTGGCCGCTGGCATATTTAGTTGATGGGATCGCCATGAGTGGACACGCAGAGTGGCGACAACATAAAGGATGCCAGGAATACAGCCGCGATGGATGGGCGTGGTCGTGGTCCGAATTGTGCACTGTACAGGGCACACACTGAATGCATCGCTGTTGTGATGTCTTGAGGAAAATTGACTCTAGGGGAACCGAACAGGTCTGGCGTTCATGCTAATGCATCGTATGTGATGTGCATGTACGAATGCCGAATCGTGGATGCTTGGGGGTGATTGACGGAGAGTGATTCAAAATGCACCTGTCTAATGGAAGGCAATATTTCCAGCTGCTGGATCAGTGCTGCACTGATGGATAGCGAAAACCAAAATTAGATTATTGCAGACAGACGCGAGCTCCGCCCCTCCCCGTCAACGCGCCCTGTGTTACTAGAGGATAGTACGAAATGCCGAATGACTGTAATTCAATGTTTCAGATTGTTGCAATGTCGCATCACAGTGAAAACCCTTGTGACAGCGACGGCCAGGTGTCTAACAAATATTCTTGCAACCATATTTTCTCTTATCTTTGCCCGCAAGTTGTGTAAATAACAGGAAATCTCCTGTTCTATCATAATGTGCAGTATGGCACATACGTGCGTTTGTACACATATGCGCATGGTTATACATGCAACATTGGAATAAGCAGGCTTGTTATTTGCGTCTGTGCTTACAGTTTTACTCGCGAAAACGTAAACTCGCAAAAGTATCTATTCTTTGCGGCTGTAGTTACATTTTACGGCTTGTTGTGACACCCAGTTTACACGATGAAAGTCGCGTACAATGGTTCATCTTCCGGCCCTTGAGCGCCTGCAACACGGCGTCCACATCGCTCAAGGCAAGGGTAACGACGGCGTGGAACAAAAGTTCGTTTTGTGCCCATTTTAACGCGTCTGGCTGCCGTTCCCCGGGCTTTCTAAGTCTGTGTACTGTCTTTAAGTACACGGCGCTGTATTCACGTTGCGTTTGCGTATTTTTACGCGTAAAAACGCAAAGCATTCAGTTTTTGCGGCGTGCATAGCAAGCCTGGGAATTGAACTGAGACGAGCGGGCCGTTGTGCAATTCAAGCCTACTGAGGAGAGCTGCCACACACAG